AGTGTGGTTGCACCTTAAGACTTTGAGGAAACGGAGCCTGGCTTTTGAAGCTTTAAACCAAGTTGGAGGGGGAAAGGGAACTTTGTTGAAACGTTTGCAACGAGATAGGAAGCAAAAAATAATAATATTAATATTATTCATATTATTAATATTAATATTTATTTAATAATAATAATAATAATGGTGATGGTGATGATGATGATGATGATGATGGTCCCTTGTGGGGAGAAGGGCGGGATAGAAATGTATGTAATAAATAAATGTATGTAATAATAATAATAATAATAATAATAATAATAATAATAATAATCGTGTAAATTCAAATTCATTATTTTGATTGATCCAGCAGCGGTCCAGCGATTTCGATTCACTTCTAATGACCTTTGGACTTCACGGGGTGTGAGCAAAACCATTTCCTCTGGCAGAATTTAAAAGCAAAATAGTGTCCTTCCCTTCAAATAGACAATTATTAAAAAATAAATTAAAAATAAGTAGGTCTTCTTTTCGGTCCGATTTTCTTCCAGTCAAAGAAAATAGAAATAAAAACCCACCGAAAAAAATAGAAAATAATAATACTGATGATAATAATAATAATAATAATAATAATAATAATAATAATCCAATACAACAATACAATTTAATACAATATAATACAATACAATTATACACACACACACACACATATGATAATAATAATGATCAAATACAAATACAACAGCCATCAGAGTGTCTGCTGTGGACTCATCTTGTTGTGTTTCAAATAATAATAATAATAATAATAATAATAATAATAATAATAGAATAAAATAATTACAAAAGTCTGATTCCAAAACCATGAAGTTATGAGAGCGAATGAAGCTACACCGGTACATCCACACTGTAAAGTTCATGCAGTGTGACACCACTTTAACTGTCATGGTTCCATGAGATAGAATCCTGGGATGTGTAGTTGGCACCGCCTCTCCTTGGCTGAGAAGGCTTTGTAAAACTACAGTTCCCATGATTCTACAGCATTGAGCCTAGTTAGTTAAACCGCACCTTTTAGCAAGAAATATTAATGTTTACATCAAGACCAACCTCCCGCTTCCAAAATCCCCTTTTCTTTGCATCAAAGGCGTTTCTCTGAAAGTACAGCACACACAATTCCGTCAAAAGGTTTTCGAATCCGGGGAAGGGGAGGTGAGTTCCCGTCCGTCAGCTCTAGCTTCCCATGCCGGGACCTGAGAGAAGCCTCCCACAGGATGGTAACACATCCGGGCATCCCTTGGCAACATCCTTGCAGACAGCCAATTTTCTCACACCAGAAGCGACTTGCAGTTTCTCAACTTGTTCCAGGCAGGTCTAGCTTTAGTTCTATATAAAATCTTCGTTTATTTTGATTTCTCTTGGGAAAATCGCTCCACGAGAAGCTTTGGATTTGGAGCTCAAGGAGGGAGTTTAAGCATTCCTAATGACACACTAGGGGGAAAACTCCTAATGAAGATCATAATGGGCTGCAAAAAAAAAAACCTCTTATGGAGTCAATGAAGGGCTGGAAAAATCCTAATGAAGATTGTGATGGTGGGGGGAAATTCTTAAATAGGTTGGAAGAATGTCTAATAAAGACAAGAAAAAAAGAGTCCTAAATGAGGCCTCTTCTACATTGAATATAAAATCCGGATTGTCTGCTTTGAGTCAGATTATATGGCAGTGTAGACTCGTATAACCCGGTTCAAATAAGATTATCTGGATTATATGGCAGTGAAGAAGGGGCCGAAGTCAACAAGCAGCTGGAAAAGGTTTGTAATTAAATCAGTGATGGGCTTGAAATTTCCTACTGAAGACAATGATGTATGTAAATAAAATATTGTGGTTGTTGTATTGTCCAAGGCTTTCAAATGGCCGGAATCACTCGGTTGTTGAGAGTTTTCAGGGCTGTATGGCCATGTTCCGGAAGCATTCTCTCCTGACGTTTCGCCTGTATCTATGGCAGGCATCCTCAAAGGTGGTAGAGTCTGTATGAAACGTTTGCAGGCCAAACGTCAGGAGAGAATGCTTCTGGAACATGGCTATACAGCCCGGAAAACTCTCAACAGCCCATTATTATTTTTGTTACTATTATTATTCACTGGACAAATGACGGGCTTGAAAAAAAATCCTGATAGGGTCCTTCCACACAGCCATACAACCCAGAATATAAAGGCAGAAAAATCTCCCAATGTCTGCTTTGAATCGGATTATCTGAGTCCACACTGCCATATAATCAGGATTTTATACAGCTGTGTGGAAGGGCCCATAGAGACAATAAGGGGCGTGGGAAGGATCCTAATGAAGACAATGAAAACAGAGATGGAGAGAGAAAGCGAGAAAAGGAAGGAGGTAGGGAGTGGATAATCAGGATGAGTTAGAACAGTGTTTCTCAACCTTCCTAATGCTGCGACCCCTTAATCCAGTTCCTCATGTTGTGCTGACCCCCAAACATTATTTTCCTTGCTACTTCATAACTATAATTTTGCTACTGTTGTGAATCGTCATGTAAATATCTGATATGCAGGATGTATTTTCATTCACTGGACCAAATTTGGCACAAATACCTGATACGCCCAAATTTGAATACTGGTGGGGTTGATTTTGTCATTTGGGAGTTGTAGTTGCTGGGATTTATAGTTCACCTCCAATCAAAGAGCAATCTGAACTCCACCAAGGATGAAATCGGAATCAAATTTGGCACACAGAACTCCCATGACCAACAGAAAAAAATGGAAGGGTTTGGTGGGCATTGATCTTGAGTTTTGGAGTTGTAGTTCACCTACATCCACAGAGCATTGTGGACTCAAACAATGATGGATCCGGACCAAACTTGGAACGAATATTCAGTATGCCCAAATGTGAACACTGGTGGAATTTGGGGAAAATAGACCTTGATATTTGGGAGTTGTAGTTGCTGGGATTTATAGTACACCTACTATCAAAGGTCATTCTGAACCCCACCAACGATAGAATTGGACCAAACTTCCCACATAGAACTCACATGACCAACCGAAAAAAAATTGGAAGGGTTTGGTAGGCATTGATCTTGAGTTTTGGAATTGTAGTCCACCTACATCAAGAGAGCACTGTGGAGTCAAATAATGATTTGGACCAAACTTGGCAAAATACTCAATATGCCCAAATGTGAACACTGGTGGAGTTTGGGGGAAATAGACCTTGACATTTGGGAATTGTAGTTGCTGGGATTTATAGTTCACTTACAAGCAAAGAGCATTCTGAACTCCACCAACAATATAATTGGGGCAAACCTCCCATGCCCAACGGAAAATACTGTGTTGTTGTAGGTTTTTTCGGGCTATATGGCCATGTTCTAGAGGCATTCTCTCCTGACGTTTCGCCTGCATCTATGGCAAGCATCCTTAGAGGCTGTGAGAAAAAAACCAACAACAACCCGGTGATTCTGGCAATGAAAGCCTTCGACAATACAGAAAATACTAATGGTTTTTGGTGACCCCTCTGACCCCCTTGCGATCCCCCCCCCCGGGTCCCGACCCCCAGGTTGAGAAACGCCGAGCTAGAACATTGTCTAATGATGTTAGAGTTAGGGTTAGGAACTCAACACTTGGAACATAAAGAAATGGGGAAGAAAACCCGCTTTTCCCCCAAAGCGACTTTTTTTGGGCCCTTCCACATATCCCAGAATATCAAGGCAGAAAAACCCAAAATGTCTGCTTTGAATTGGGTTATCTGAATCCACACTCAGATAATGTGGGATTTTCTGCCTTGATATTCTGGGATATAGGGCTGTGTGGAAGGGTCCTTACATGAGTATTTGAAAGGGTCTTAAGAAAAACGAAGTGACATATTTCCTCTCCTGTGATATTGGATTTGGGATATAGGGCTGTGTGGAAGGGCCCTGAGTCCACACTGCCATATATTCCAGATCAAAGCAGATAATGTGGGATTTTATTCAGCTGTGTGGAAGGGGCCTGAGTGCCCTTCCACACAGCCCTATATCCCAGAATGTTGTTGTTCATTCGTTCAGTCGTCTCCGACTCTTCGTGACCTCATGGACCAGCCCACGCCAGAGCTCCCTGTCGGCCGTTACCACCCCCAGCTCCCTCAAGGTCAGTCCAGTCACTTCAAGGATGCCATCCATCCATCTTGCCCTATATCCCAGAATATTAAGGCAGAAAATACCATAATATCAGCTTTCAACTGGGTTACCTGACTCCACACTGACATATATTCCAGTTCAAAGCAGAAACTGTGGGGTTTTATTCAGCTGTGTGGAAGGGACCCCAGTGTTTCCCAGTCTCAGGAGTTTTGGACTTCAGCTCCCAGAATTCCCAGTCTTCAGATAACCCGTTTCAAAGCAGATAATGTGAGATTTTTCTGCCTTGGTATTCTGGGATATAGGGCTGTGTGGAAGGGCCTTTAGATAACCCAGTTCAAAGCAGATAATGTGGGTTTTTCTGCCTTGATGTTCTGGGATATAGGGCTGTGTGGAAGGGCCTTCAGATAACCCAGTTCAAAGCAGATAATGAGGGATTTTGTGCCTTGATATTCTGGGATATAGGGCTGTGTGGAAGGTCCCTTTTGTAGATAGGAGCAAACTTTCACCCGCCTTGTTCCGAACTTTCCCAAATAGGGAGACCCCTCTTCCCCCCCCCCTCTTTCTACCCTCCCTCCAACCCCTCCCCCGAGTGTGTGTGAGTGTGTGTGTTTGAGAGAGTCTTCTCCTTCTCCTTTGTGGTGGGAAGAGCGAGGAAGTGTCTCGGTGAGGAAGTGGGGGAGGAAGAGGCGAGGCCACCCCCTTTTGTGCCGAGACGGAGCCTTCTCCCTCCTTTGCTGCCTAATTGGACTCTCTAAAGCCAATAAGAGGCGAGCTCTCTTTCGCCCGGAGCCAAGAGGACCAAATCGAAGGGGGGCGTGGAGATGGCGGGCTAGAGGAGCCCGCGAGGGAGGGGGCGGCTGCCTGGCCTCCCTCCCTTCCTCTTTCCTCCCTCCCTTTCCCTCCCTCCCTCCTTCCTTCCTTCCTTCTCTCGCTTTCTCTCTCTCTCGCCCGGCTGCCAAACGTGAATCGGGGCGTCCTGGTGGGGCCTTCGGAGCGCAGCATTCGCACCCGACGCCGGAGAAAGCCACCACGACGAAGACTACTACTACAACGCCCTCCAGTCTCCCCCGAAGGACGTCCCAAGCTTTCTCGATGCTGCCGGCTAATTGGGAGCCACTCCGGAGCCCCGTGTGAACGCCACAGGGGTGGGAGGGAGGGAAAGGAGGAAGATGCCGGAGACCGGACCCGACGCCCCCAGCCCCCCGGCTTCGCAGCCCCAGCAGCCGCCGCCGCCGCCTCCTCCTCCTCCGCCGCCGAAAGAGTCTCCCTTCTCCATTAAGAACTTGCTCAATGGGGACCCGCACCCCAAGGCGGCCCCCAAGCAGCCCCGGGCGCTCTTCCCGCCGGTGGCCAAAGGGGCGCTCGAGGGGGCCGGCTTCGCCCTCTCGCCCGTGGCCGACCTCGCCTTCCCCCGCTTCGAGATCCCCGCGCAGAGGTTCGCCCTGCCCGCCCACTACCTGGAGAGGAGCCCGGCCTGGTGGTACCCCTACAGCCTGAGCCCCGCCGGGGGACACCTGCCCAGGACGGAAGGTAACCGCCCAGCAGACTCCCCGCCCCTGGCACTGGGGCCCCTCCGCGGTGGGAAGCCCAAGGAAGGCGCTTCCTGGCCTTCCTCTTCCCAGGCATCATCCCCTCCTTCTCCTCCTTCCCTGGTTGCTTTCCTTCCTGGCCCTCCCTTGACCCACTCACCCCTCTTGCCATTATTATTATTATTATTATTATTATTATTATTATTATTATTATTATTATTATTATTATTATTATTATTATTATTTCTAGTCTGCCTTTCTCCCCATAATGACTCCATCTCACATTGCCATTTGTCCCACTCTGGGAAGCCCAAGGAAGGGTCCTTCTCCTATACACCAGCTCCTACCTCCTCTTCCCTTGACCCACTCATCTCTCCTGCCATTATTATTATTATTATTATTATTATTATTATTATTATTATTATTATTATTATTTCTAGCCTGCCTTTCTCCCCATAATGACTCCATTCCACATTGCCCCTTCCACTCTGGGAAGCCCAAGGAAGGGTCTTACTAGCCTTCCTTCTCCTAAACATCAGCTCCTACCTCTTCCCTTGTTGCTTTCCTTACTGGCCCTCTTTGAGAGAAAGTCCCTCCCTTGACCCACTCATCCATCTTGCCATTATTATTATTATTATTATTATTATTATTATTATTATTATTATTATTATTAGCTTGCCTTTCTTCCCTAGTGACTCCATCCCACATTGCCATTTGCCCTCTCCACTTGGGAAGTCGAAGGAAGGGTCTTCCTAGCCTTCCTACTCCTAAGCATCATCTCCTACCTCTTCCCTTGATGCTTTCCTTACTGGCCCTTTTAGGGACAAGGTCTCTTCCTTGCCCAATCATCCCTCTTGCCATTGTTATTATTATCTTTATCTTTATTATCTTTATTTCTAGCCCGCCTTTCTTTCCATTGTGACTCCATCCCACCTTGCCATTTGCCCCTTCCACGCTGGGAAGCCGATGGATGGGTCTTCCTGGCCTTCCTTCTCCTAAGCATCATCTCCCACCTCTTCCCTTGTTGCTTTCCTTACTGTCCTTCTTAAAGACAAGGTCCCTTTCCCTTGACCCATTCATTCCTAATGCCATTATTATTATTATTATTATTATTATTATTATTATTATTATTATTATTATTTTCTAGTCATCCTTTCTCCCCATAGTGACTCCATCCCACCTTGACACTTGTCCCCTCCATTCTGGAAAGCTGAAGACTCTTCCTGATCTTCCCTTCCTGTCCTTCCTAGGGAGCAAGGTCCCTCCCTTGACACACTTAACCCTCTTGCTATTATTATTATTATTATTATTATTATTATTATTATTATTATTTCAATCCCGACTTTCTTCTCATCTACATTCCATCCCACCGTGCCACTTACACCTGGATCTTCCGGGTCTTCCTTATCACAGGCCACTCCATCTTCTCCAGGAAGGGCCACCTTATCCTAGATCTTCTCTTGTTGTTTTCCTTCCTGTCGGCCTTCTCCAGGGACTTCTCCTTTCATCTATCCATCCATCCATCCATCCATCCAGTCACCCCTCTCCATCCATGTATCCCACACTGAGAAGTTGGAGGCTCTTCCTGCTTTTTCTCATCCCAGAGAGGACCACCTTCTCCTAGATCTTCACTTGTTGCTTTCCTTACTGTCGGCCTTCTCCAGGGACTTCTCCTTTGATCCATCCATCCACCCACTCACCTCTCTCCATCCATCTATCCCACACTGAGAAGTTGGAGGCTCTTCCTGCTTTTTCTCATCCCAGGGAGGGCCACCTTCTCTAGATCTTCCCTTTTTGCTTTCCTTACTGTCGGCCTTCTCTGGGGACTTCTCCTTTGATCCATCCATCCACCCACTCACCCTTCTCCATCCATCTATCTCACACTGAGAAGTTGGAGGCTCTTCCTGCTTTTTCTCATCCTTGGAGGGCCACCTTCTCCTAGATCTTCCCTTGTTGCTTTCCTTACTGTCGGCCTTCTCCAGGGACTTCTCCTTTGATCCATCCACCCAGTCATCCCTCTCCATCCATCCCACACTGAGAAGTTGAAGGCCCTTCCTACGTTTTCTCATCCACCTTCTCCTAGATCTTCCCTCGTTGCTTTCCTGACTGTCGCTGTTCTCCAGGCCTCCCCCTCAAGACCAGGCCACCATTTCTTCACAGATGGATCTTTCAAGATCAGCTAGGAGGAAACCTCTCAGCCATCTCTGGTTTAGTGAACTCGCCTGGTGTGGATAGCTAGGGTTGTGAGTCCTCCAAAGTGGTAGACCATCTAGCACTTTAGTCCCATTTCGAGCCCGATTTAGCTCTCCATTCGCCATCTATTACCTCCCTCCACCTTCTCCCATTGCAAGATCCTAGGCAAGCAAGTGGGGTTTATTAGTCCCAACGGGCGTGTGTGTGTGTTGTTGCTTTTGAAAAACCGGTAAGCGTCAAAGGCCGGTCTTCAAACTGTCCAACCCGGGCTTCCAGGTTGAGGCCCCTTGATCCCAGAGCCTCTTCATCCTTGACTAAACCTGACCCGGGTTGGCAAAGCTTGGCTTTCTGGAGAGAAACTCCGCGAGAAGCGGGCGTCCTTCTCCTGGCCTGGTTTACTCGCGCGTCTTTCCAATTGGGATCCCGGCAGTTGACTTTTTATCCCAGCCTCTATAGGGGAGAAAGTGGGGATTTTAAGTCTCAGGGAGGTGAGCTGAAAAGGGCAACAAGGCAAGGCTGATAAGCTCTTTCTTTTCTTTCTTTCTTTTTTACTTTTGTAAACATGAACTTTCACTTTTTTAAAAAAATGTTGATTTTTTAATTCCATAAAAATCAATATTTTTATGGAATTAAATCTCCTTTTTTGAGCCGCTTTGGATCTAGAGCGAGAGAAAAAAGCGGGGTGTAAAATATAATAATAGGAGTAGTAATAATAGTAATAATAATATTAATAGTAATAATTTCGTAATAATATTTAGTAGTAATAATAAGCGGGGTATAAAATATAATAATAGTAATAGTAATAATAGTAATGCTATTATTATTGTTGTTATTAATTAATAATAATAATCGTAATAATAAGTGGGATATATAATAATAATAATAATAATAATAATAATAATAATAATAATAATAATAATAATAATAACGGGGCCCAACAACAAAAGTTTTTAGGCCTGTTCCTGGGGTTATTTGGGGCTGAGTCAGAAAATCGCATTGGATAGACCGCAAGAGTTGTAGTTTTCCAAGGCCCTAACACAGTCATCTAACCCGGAATATCAAGGCAGATAAATCACAATATCTGCTATAAACTGTGTTATCTGAGTTCACACTGCCATATAATCCAGTTCAATGTGGATTTTATACACCTGTGTGGAAGAGGGCCTTAGATAAACTATCATGGTTTTCTATGGACGAAAGACTGGTGGATGGCATATGCTTTGTATCACAAAAACTAATAATAGCTTCCTATTATTATTATTATTATTATTATTATAGATGGCATATGCTTTGTATCTCAAAAACTAATAATAGGTTCTTCTTCTTATTTTTTTTATTATAGATGGCATATGCTTTGTATCTCAAAAACTAACAATAGGTTCCATTATTATTATTATTATTATTATTATTATTATTATTATTATTATAGATGGCATATGCTTTGTATCTCAAAAACAAACAATAGGTTCCTATTATTATTTTTATAGATGGCATATGCTTTGTATCTCAAAAACTAATAATAGGTTCTTCTTCTTATCATCATCATCATCATTATTATTATAGATGGCATATGCTTTATATCTCAGAAACTAATAATAGGTTCCTATTGTTGTTGTTGTTGTTGTTATTATTATAGATGGCTACGCTTTGTATCTCAAAAACTAACAATAGGTTCCTATTATTATTATTATTATTATTATTATTATTATTATTATTGATGGCATATTTCTTTGTATCTCCAAAACTAGAGCTGATAGGAGAAACCTTTGTGTGTGTGTGTCAGGAGCGACTTGAGAAACTGCAAGTCGCTTCTGGTGTGAGAGACTTGGCCAGAATTGGCCGCCTGCAAGGACGTTGCCCAGGGGAAGGCCCGGATGTTTGACGTTTTACCATCCTTGCGAGAGGCTCCTCTCATATCCCCACATGGGAGCTGGAGCTAACGGAGGGAGCTCTCATGTCCCCACATGGGAGCTGGAGCTAACGGAGGGAGCTCACCCGCGCTCTCTACCCCGCTGGGGGCTCCTACTGGGGAAACAGGTGCTCTTTGTAGAACCAGCAAGTCAAATATACGCAGAAGCAGGTTCAACAACTTGAGGCATCCAAAAAGAGACAAAGGAGCAACAGCAACTCCTTTGCCTCTCTGGGAGATTTGCTGAAATGCGCAAGGCAAGGCTCTAAAGTCTCCTTTTTCCTTCTTCCCCCCTCCCTCCCTTCCTTCCTTCCTTCCTTCCTTCCTTTTCCCCCCTCTGGCTCTGCCTCTGGGCTGTGCCTGCCCGCCTTCCCTGCAGTGTCGCTGGAGAAATCCCTGCGGAGAGACTCTTCCCCGGCCTCGGGAGGCACGGACCGGGACTCCCCGGACGAGGCCTTGGCCAAGGCGGAGCGGGAGGCCAAGGACTTGCTGGACTCCAAGAGCCCCGAGGAGATCATCCTGGAGGAGAGCGACTCGGAGGAGGGCAAGAAGGAGGAGGAGAGCGGCGCCGAGGACTGGCCCAAGCGGGAGCCCGACGGAGGAAGCGGCGGAGGGGGAGGCGACTGCGGCGCCGAGAAGAAGCCCTGCCGCAAGAAGAAGACCCGCACCGTCTTCTCCCGCAGCCAGGTCTTCCAGCTGGAGTCCACCTTCGACCTGAAGCGCTACCTGAGCAGCTCAGAGCGGGCCGGCTTGGCTGCCTCCCTCCACCTGACCGAGACCCAGGTCAAGATCTGGTTCCAGAACCGGCGCAACAAGTGGAAGCGGCAACTGGCGGCCGAGCTGGAGGCGGCCAACCTGAGCCACGCGGCTGCCCAGCGCATCGTGCGCGTGCCCATCCTCTACCACGAGGGCGAGGGGGGCGCGGGTGGGGGGCCCAACGGGGGCCAAGCGGGGGCGGGAGGGGGTCCCACGGGGAGCGCCCCCGTCAGCCAGCCCTTGCTCACTTTCCCGCACCCGGTCTACTACTCGCACCCCGTAGTCACCTCCGTCCCGCTCCTTCGGCCCGTCTGAGCCCAGAACGAGACAGAGAAGGAACCAGAGAAAGGGAGAGAGGGGCTTTCACAAGAGAGGGAAGGGAGGGAGGGAAGCCAGAGAGCGGTCCAATACTCCCTTTCAATCAGCCTCTATTCCCTCTCGATCCGGATTGCCATCTCCTCCTGCCAGAAAGGATCCCTATACATATGATCTCTCTCTTCTCCCCCCCCCCCCCACCTTTTGTCCGTGCCATTCTTCAGAGACTCCCTCACTTTCCTGCCTGGGTTTGGATGCCTTTCCTGGCGGGGTTGTTCCATCATCATTTCTGATGATGGTTATTATTGTTGTTTTAAGAATAATGCGCTTTTTCTCCCCCCAAAAGAACGGTCGCTCCTGATTTCTTTGAAAATAATATTCTCTTTGGAAATGGAGCGAAGGAGGGAAATCTCCCTGTTGTTGTTGTCCCGATGGTGCCAAAACAAGGCTCCCCAAAACGCAAGGGGAGTTTGGGGAAGGGGGAGCTGTCCGGCTCGACAGCCTCAACCGATTTGGTGCCGTTTCAAAGAGACGCCGTCGATCTTTTCAGGGCATTCTTTTCCTCTCAAGGTGTGAAAGGCGAGAGAGAAGGCGGTTGAAACGGACTTTTTTGAAAATTCCCTAATTATTTATTGCAAGTTTTTTTATGTTGCTATTTCGGGGCGCGTTCTACTTCCTTTCTCTTACCTCCCTCCTTCCCTTCCCTCTTTCTTTCCTTCTTTCCTTCCTTATTTCCTTCCTTCCCTCTTTCTTTTCTTCCTTCCTTCTTTCCTTCCTTCCCTTTTTCTTTTCTTCCTTCCTTCTTTCTTTCCTTCCTTCTTCTTTCCTTCTTTCATTCCTGCTTTCCTCCCCCTCTCCTTTCTTTCCTTTCTTTCTTCTCTTTCATTCCTTCCTTTTTCCTTCCTTCCCTCTTTTTTTCTTCTCCTTCTTCCCTTCCTTTTCTTCTTTCCTTCTTCCCTCTTTCTTTCTTCCCTCTTTCTTTCTTCTTCCTTCTTTCCTTCCTTTCCTTCTTTCATTCCTTCTTTCCTCCCCCTCCTTCTTTCCTTCCTTCTTTCCTTCCTTCCTTCTTTCTTTTCTTCCTTCTTTCATGCCTTCCTTCTTTTCTTCCTTATTCCCTTCCCTCTTTCTTTTCTTCCTTCTTTTATTCCTTCTTTACTTCCTTCTTCTTTCCTTTTCATTCCTTTTTCCCTCTCCCTCCTTCTTTCCTTCCTTCTTTCTTTCCTCCTCTTTTCTTTTCTTCCTTTCTTCTTTCATTCCTTCTTTCTTTCTTCTTTCCTTCTTCTTTCTTCTTTTCCTTCTTTTCTTCCTTTTTCCTCCTTCCTTACTTTCTTCTTTCTTTCTTTTTTCCCCTCCCTCCCTCCTTCCTTCCCTCCTTTCCTTCCTTACTCCCCTTCCTTCCTCCCCTTCCTCCACTTTCTCTTTCCTCCTCCTTTCATCTTCTTTCCTGGAAGACCTTCTCTGGCTTCTGCCGCTGCTGTGTGTGCAATAGGGAACAATCCTTGAAAGCGAGGGGAGTTGGGGGATTTGTCACGAGATGATATCTCCTTTTTTTGAGGGGGAAACGAGCTGCACAAAATAGAGGGGGGGGAGAGTAACCAACCCGGGGCGACTCCACGCCTGGTCTGCTTCCTGAACTCTCGGCCAGTGTTCGGGGCGCTTTAAGTGATGGACAATCAGACTCTTCAGAGGAATTGTTAACTTCTTTGCTATATTCTGTACAGTTTTCTTGTCTGTTTTGGGGAGGGGGTGAGGGTTGGGGGCTGTGGGAGCTCATCTCCCCGTTATTTTCTTCTCTGTATACTCCCCATCCTTCTTTCCGTTTGTTTCTTCCCTCCCTCTATTATTATTATTATTATTATTATTATTATTATTATTATTATTATTATTATTATTATTATTACAAATGGTTCTAATACATCCGTGTCTTGTGGTTGAAGGGAGGGATGGGAAAGCCAATAAAGGAAACTTGTTCATTCATGAGGATGGTCCTGGTGGTGGTGTTTGTGCTGGGATGTGTTTTGTGTGTGTGTGTTTCCCCCAAAAAGAAATATTAATGAGAGGCGGAGACTTGAGGGAAGGAGAGTGAACAGGTGCCTTGGAGATGGGAGACACAGAGGCAGACAGAGGCGGCATTGTTTCCTGACCCAAAAAAAGGGGAACTAAGTTTGCCTAAGCAGCGAGCAAAGCTGGCCTGGAAACTAAGCCCTTTGCAGCCGCCACAGACCGGAAGAGGCGACGCCAAGGCTGTTTGGAGGCTACTTGGGACTCAGGTAAGCTTAGCAGGATCCCCCATGGAGCAATGGGTCAGCAGGACAGCTGACCGAAAGGCCGGCCTTCCAATCGGGGAGTGGGGTGAGCTCCCCTCTGTCAGCTCTAGCTTCTCATCCGGGGACATGAGAGAAGCCTCCCACAGGATGGTAAAACATCCGGATGTCTGGGGGAAAATAAATGGGAAGTCTAGCTGGGCCCCTATTTTATTGAATGTGAGATGAGCCTAGGTCTGGGGTTTGGAGACAGATGGGCTTTCCTGCATGTTTGTATGTGTGTGAGTTGCTGGATCTACATCACCATACATTGAACTGCATTATATGGCCCTATACTGGCATTGAACTGCATTATATGGCCCTATACTGCCATTGAATTGCATTATATGGCCCTATACTGGCATTAAATTGCATTATATGGCCCTATACTGGCATTGAACTGCATTATATGGCCCTATACTGCCATTGAACTGCATCATATGGACCTATACTGCCATTGAACTGCATCATATGGCCCTATACTGGCATTGAACTGCATTATATGGCCCTATACTGCCATTGAATTGCATTATATGACCCTATACAGCCATTGAACTGCATCATATGGCCCTATACTGCCATTGAACTGCATTATATGGCCCTATACTGACCATATACTGCAGTGCAGATTCAGCCTTTAAAGTGCTTTAAAGTCGCCTGTCTATTTCACAGCCTTTCAGTTTGAAGCTAGTTTCCAATTTGGGAGGCCAGACAACAAACTCCCACCAAAGCAAGTGCAAGAAAGCCCTGTGGTTTGTGTCATCCGGGACTCAAACTGGTTTCAGGATTTCCTATGTAATTATCTGCAGCGTGAAAGCACTTTCTTCAATACTGATGTGAAACTGATCTTGGCTGGATTGACACTGCCCTATATGCCAGGATCCGATTCCAGATTATCTGCTCTAAACTGAATTATATGTGGCTGGATCCACACTGCCCTATATCCTAGGATCTGAATCCAAATTATCTGCTCTTTGATGAATTATTTGTGGCTAGATTTATACTTCTGGAATCAGATCCCAGGATCTGATTCCAGATTATCTGTTCTGAACTGTATTATATGTGGCTGGATCTACACTGTCCTATATCCCAGGATCTGATTCCAGATTATCTGCTCTGGACTGTATTATATGTAGCTGGATCCACACTGCCTTATATCCCAGGATCTGATCCTATATTATCTGCTTTGAACTGGAATATATGAGTCTACAATGCCAGATGATCTGGGATAAGCCGATGATCTGGGATCATATCCTGGGATATTGGGTAATGTAGATCCAGCCTAAGACCCCGTCTACAGGACCACATAAAATCCATATTATCTGCTTTGAACTGGATTATATGGCAGTGTAGCCTCATATAATCCAGTTCAAAGCAGATAATATGGATTATGACAGTCTGGAATTTATGGCAAGGTAGAAGGATCCTTAGCTGCATGACAAGAACAAGCATATCCTCCAACCTTTGTGCAGATCCAACCCTAGTCGTTTGCCATTGCCTTCCTCAGAGGTTGCTTGCTAGTGGGTTTCCAAGACTGAGAATACTAAGGCCATCTACACTGCACTTAGATGCAACTTTAAGTGCTATTGACTCCATACCATGTGTTCATAGGATGTACAACTTGGTCATACAACACTTCGACCGTTCTAAGATGCCCAACTCTTAGGATTCCATAGCATTGAGTTGTGGCAGTGCAAGTGATCTCAAACTGTATTCTGCATAGAGATGCACCCCACGTCCAACACTCGAACCGAGCTGTAGAAGGAGCGCGAGGCTGCCGGCACACAAAGGGTTAAACTCCCTCTGGCGTCACAGGCCCAAAGCCAGAGATAACAAGAGAGGAAGCAGTTTTGCAGCCGGGTGGCAAAAAGAGAGGCCAGAGCGCGCGCGCGCACCGCTGAGTCAAAAGGCGCGAGACGCCGCGCGCTCAGTCTCTTCCTCCCTCCCGGGTCCCTTAGAATTCTAACTCCGAACCCTGGGAAGGCCCATATTTTGCCGGGCTCTGATTGGCTCACCAGAGAGTTCGTATCCAAGCCGGCGCGCGCGCTTAGCATCCGAGGAAGCCCTTGCAAGAGCCTCTGCGCTTTTGGTGTCTCCATTGTAGAATTAATGCAGTTTGGCACTTCTTTAACCGCCAGGACTCAATGCTACATCGTCCTGGCATTTGTAGTTTGGTAAGAGATGGTTAAAAAGACTTTGCAAAAAAATAAAATAAATATACAGCTCCCACTATTGCACAACATCAACAAAGTGGTGCCAAATTGCATTAATTCTATAGTATAGATAACTGCTTCTTGTGTCGCTTTTTTACTTGAGAGCTCCAGAGTGCAGGAGTCTCCAGTCCAATCAATTTCAAATCCAGGCCTCCCTCAAAATGAACATTCATTCACCTTAATGGAAGTCCTATCTAAGTATCTATCCTCCCTTTAAATCCGATCCTATTCCTAATATCCAGGATTATTCACAATGCCAAAGCAAGCGCATTCGGTTTGGTACCAAAGATTCCACAAAATCCCTGAGGTTTAAATTTGCAACTTTAATAATAATAAATTAAATAATAATAAAATTATTATTATTATTTGAAACACAACAAGATGAGTCCACAGCAAACAAGATCACTCCGCTGGCTGTTGTATTGGATCACACGTCGGACACTTCCCAAGTATCTAGGACTGTGTGATGTATGGGCGAATAATGCCTGCAGATCCCAGTAAGGTGGCCTTTTGCATCTGGCAGATGGTAATTTTTGATAGTGCTGATTGTTTTTAAGTGCAGGCCAAGGTCT